TATATGTCACGATCTATCTAGATTTACGGATGTTTATTCAACTGACACTAATCCGGTGTTTGATCTGTGGACATATGCCGCGAGCAAGAAGCCAGCGAAACAAACGTAGTCGCCAAAAGTTCTTTGTGCCGAACAGGGCATGGTTAATTACACCTGGGTGCTAATCCTTTAGTAGGACATCAAAAGAGCCATTGGTAATAAAATGATAGGCAACTTATATTGACCGTTCCTCTGATTTACAACTTGGGAATGGTTAGTCCACCACACCCAATCAGAATTAAGCTAGTGGGTGTGCATACCTCAAAGTTTCGAGGATATTAAATTAACTCCGTCCTAAAATTATTTAGTAAACCGAGGCAAATTACAAGGTGATTGCAGGATTAAAGGCTACTCCGAGATACGCACTCGTAAATTTGGCGTGAATCGAAGGGAAAAGATTGGAACAAAGAAAGCTTCAATAAGGAAGCTTTCCGGGTGGAACAACTTCAGTAGAAGTGGATAGGAAAGTTGAAGGAGAATTTTCCGGGTGGGATAACTTCAGTTGGAAGGAGAGTCCTGAGAGTCTGAGAGAGAAGACTGAAGTAAGACTGTCGGTACAGTCAGGGTCGACGGATTGGAGTCGACGCTTCGACGAGGAAGTCGACGGAAAGGGAAGTAGAGGTGGAGAGTAAATTGGAAGAAGCAAAGGAGGAGTAGAAGTGGAGAAGAATGTCGAAGGAGTAAAGGAGGAGTGTGGGACAAATTTAGAGAGACAGATGAGTAGAACCAAGGACAGGGCGAAAATTCTCACACTGATTCAGATGATGAAATAGGCACAAAAGAGTCGAGCGATTGGGAAGCTCGCATGTTGAAATTTTATTGTTAATTAAATTGTTTTATTTAATTCCACCCCTTTTGTACTTTTTTATTTAATTGTTTAATTTCACCCTTTAGTACTTTTGGATTTAACTGTCGGCATTGCTGACTGGGGGCTCAGAACCATATTCACCTACTTAACTTCTGAACCATAATCGAGCCTGGGTTGGTGCCATACCTAAATTAATTTGGAAACACCCCACCCCATTTTCATATAACCATAACCCTCTAGGGAATAAATAAAAACCCTAACGTAACATTATGTATATATATATATATATATATATATATATATATATATATATATATATATATATATATATATATATATATATATATATATATATATATATATACACACACACAGAGAAGACGGGCATGCTACTTGCCAGACAACAGACACATAATAACCTGTTTATAATTTATGAACTTTTGACATTTCACTTTTCTATTCTAATCTCATATTCTTATGGCATCATAGTATTTTAAAAATCTGTTTTCACTGTCTACCAGGTACCTGGTATGTGCCCAGTGTAGACATTATCTGGATCTGAGAGATTGAAATAATTACAAGGAATTAGATGAGCTATATCAAAGAAGATTATCTTCTCAATTTTCAGTATGGTGAAGTTCAGTCATCTAGTTTTCAATTCAATAGATGGAATATACTTTTCATGCAACCATTATATTGCGCTCTGTGTTCTTTGTTCCAATTTTTTGAAGTATTTATTATTTGTATTATGGTCTTCTCTCCAGTTTAGCTATGCACTCATTTCACAATAGTTGCTGCAATATTTTCTTCTATTAAATTCAGTAATGTCTTTGTGCTTTTCACATTAAGGATATATCTTTAATATCCATTATTTATAGTTTCAATTTTTATTTATGTTGACTTTTTACTATCAGTGTTTATTTTTGTGACTTTTAACATATCCTTAACACAACCTTAAAACTGAATAAAGATAACGTTATAGGCAAAGACTTTTCACTTGAAAACTACGTTTTGAGAACTTGAAAATGAGATTCGAAATGCAAAATAAAATTCGTTTAAATTAAGAAGAAAATATTTTGACAGACAGTGAAGATTAATTTGTAAGTAACATAATACTCATTTATGCATTTCCATTACAATTGTGTGGTAAGTGAACAGAGGACAGCATCAGTCATAATGGTTACTTGTCTAAAACAAACGGCTAGAATTGAACCTGGTTTATTACTTCGGAGGTGGTCACATCATTTTAAAAGAGGTCAGGAGGAACAAACTTTGTCTGAAATTCGTGTTGAAAGTCCAATTAAATCAAGTCGAGGAATATTTGTTGCTGTGTAGGTATTGGATTTTTGTTATAATTATTGTGTAAACGAAATAAGTGTCTATCTGCTTCAAGATCCGTTGAAGATGACAATGAACAACCATTTAAAGTAGTTAATTTACTATATAATGACGAAATTCCATCAACAGGGAATGTGAAATATGATATTATTACGTTGCACATGGTGCAATAGAATCAATCATGCAGCAATTAATGCAGCACGTATGGTTGCTTATGCATGCTTTTGCACAAGACACTTCAATGATACAAGTGACCAAAAGTTCTAAACACAGATTTTTTTTGTTTGTAATGGGATACATATTTTAAAGCACACCCTTTGTTAACGTCTGAAAGACATGGAACTCGTATCGAACTCGTTCTGAAGATTGCATGAGATATTGGTTCAAAAAGACCCACGTATCTTCCTTGTTTTCCGTAGATAAGAAGAGACTGGATTTTGTTAGACCGATAACTGACCGGAATTATTGAAGTATACAAAGCTATTGTATCTCAACATAAGACGTTATTTAATACAAATTTGGACCATTTTTTAAAAAAAATTAATTCTTATTTACAGTATAATAATTTCCTCTGGTCATGACGGCGATGTAAGCAGTAATTTGGTCATTAATTCCTGTATAATTTTAATTATTCAGAAATCAATCCTAACTGAAGAGACGTAATTTCAGCTATACTGGAAAGTTTAATTGATGGTTTACAAAACGAAATCATAAGGCATACATTATTTTCAAAGGACTTTTTCCTAAGTATATAGTCTTTTTTTTTCTACCTGTGGTGATTTTCTGTTTGAGTTTATTTTCTATCTGAGTTCCTAAAGGTGAAGTGTATCTACATTCACGCCAGTCAAACATTAGCTTTTAAAACAAAATCTGTACTCATAAACGTAATGGAATACATTTACAAAAACGACAAATTATGCTCTAACACTGCAAATGGATAAAAAAAATATCTCGGATAAAATCAATAAAAAACAAATCCGTGTTAAATTTCTTTAAAAAAATATTTACATACTTTTATCACAACTAATATGAAGCGTCTAGTGCAATTACCAGCTTACCACGTCCCTAAGGAAAGTAAAAAATTAATTAAAGAAAACAATAAATAGTTGAGAAGATCGATAGTAATTCATTCAAACATACTAGAGTGACTGCAAGGCTTTTTTAGATTGGCTGAGTGATTGGTAATGGTTAAGTTAAAAAATGTGCCTTCTAGCTGCGTATTCAAAACATATGCCTGTACATTGTATATGAAAAGCTAAAAGCATGGTACTGAAATGGACACCGTAATACTGAAGACTTAACATTGTAATGCCAATTAATCAATTTCTCTTTACTTTATGCAGATATTTTATCTAAATATATTATATTTTTCTCAGGAATAATGTTTAACCTTTTATATTTTAATGTATAGGTTGTCAAAAGCGATACTGTATACGTTTTTATTATTATTATTATTATTATTTGCCTTTCAGTTTAAAGATTCACGTATCTTGATCAATCTTGCAAAATACGAAATTCAGCTTGTATGTAAAACTGACAAAAGACGGCACGTATGACAACCAAATAGTAGGCAGAACCTAAAAATACTCTATTAATCCTGTGATAGTTACTTTCTAAAAATACATTTATAATATGTCGATTAACAATAACCAGGACAAAAAGCTATTTTAATTAAGATTGATTTAAGTAAATGCCACTGAATTTGCGTTATCTTAAAATAAGGACGTTTTCTGCATAAGATTTCAACGCACCATATCCTGGTCTAACATTCGACACCAAAAGTGTAGTTTTAAGTTGAAGACGTAGGCAGATTTTAAAACAAATTATGACATCAAACCAATGTTTGATTTTCATTAATTAGATACTTGCAGATGTGTGCAAAACAAATTAAATGACATTGATTGAAATAAGAAATAACATATGCTATTTTCATAACCCACGTATTGACGTCAAAGAGAACAAAAGCACTTTTTATATCTCCTTAACATGTAAACACTGTTTATTCAGCGGGTTGCTAGAGTTATTTTGAATCCACTGTTGATCAATTTCAATAAATCGTGGAAATTACTGTTTTGATGCGGAATCAGTCAGCCACAGGATGGGACTGCAAATTAATGGCATGATATTGAATTATATTTTGTTACACGATGAGTACGTACTTGAAGTGGTGAAAGACTAAATGTTTAAACAATTTACAGTATTTAAGAGTGACCAACATTGTTTGTCAGAAAACAGGAAAATAAAAAAGAAGTTTTAGTAAATGCACCCTTTTTTCATTCATATTTCCTGTTGTTACATTCTAGGGATAATACATAGAGTGGGATATATGTAAATTTTTTTCCTCTTTCGAGTGTCTCCTTCAATATGTTCTGCCTAAGAAATACTATATATCAGATAAAGGATAAAGTAAGCATTTGAATTTGAGAAAGTGCTTTCCAAAAGGCAAAATCTGTGTGGTCAGTACCTGACATTTCCCATACTACCATATTTGTCTAGATGAAAATGATTTTCCAATTAGAGCAATAATATTTGTCTCAATGAAATGATTTACAAATTAGTGTGTATGTGTATGTGTGTGTGTGTGATTTGGATTTTTAAAGTAGTTTTAACAAGCTTTCAGTCATATCGCTTCGATGTCAGTAGTGTATCAGCTTATAGTGAGGTCTTGCACCTGGGCATCATAAAGAAAGACACGTAGCATACTGTTCAACCCAGTCACAGTATCCTGACACCAGGCCGCCCAGACCTTACACTAACCTCTTAATGATGAGCGTCTAGCGAGGCAGCTGTAAGTACCATTTTTATTTCTTTGGTATAACCCGGTCTGGGGTTTGAACCCGCGACCTCCCGTATCCGAGGCGGACACTCTAACCACTAGACCACCTGAGAAGTCCCATTTTTCCATGTGGTCAGACCTAGCCATGTGTCTTTTAGTCAGTATGCCGACTGCCAACATAAATTTAATATGGCATTTTGTATAATGGCTGCCATCACGAAGAATGTAGATTTAGTCGTCGAAACCACAGGGTCCTATTGTATTTACATGTATGTGTAACAAGTGACGTTGCTGGAACGGATCGTGTTCATTTTGTACATGGTGTTTTAAACCAGCCAGCGCTTGTAGACAGCCATCACGAGTTACTATATTTTGTAGCAAACATTGATTTTCATTCCTTTGGCTAGTTACTACTCTACTTTTTTTCCCCCACCAGTAAACTGGTTTTCTGGCTGTAAAATAATTATTAGTCCGATACCTTTATAGGGAACCAGGTTACTTTTCGCTCAGAAAATCGAAAGGCACAATACTATTTTCCTTGATAAAGCAGTCGTATAAAGATTGAAAGTTGATATACATAGTATAAAATCAATGTTTGCGCAAAAGTCTTCTTCAAAGGAGTTTAATGGTGACTTGAATGGGTTTAATAGTTCTTTTTTAATCATGGCCTATTAGATTTGTTTCAGCAAGTGAAGTCTACGGTATCTGATAAGAATAACACACCTATTTTTTACCTTTAGTTCTAAGTTTACTACTGAAAATATCATGGCCTAGATTTCCTTTTTATGTCAAAATGGGACAATTTGTTATCTAATTAACGATGCATGTTCAGGCTGTATTATAAAAGACGTTATCACTGATATTGTTTTTGATCAGGTTACCGAGACAAAGAAAATGTCGCCCAAAAATGTGTAAGGTGGCAGGGTACAGTTTCGTAAATTGGCCACTGGCAATTTCTTAACTTATTGCTATGGTGTGACTTTTTCAGCTATTATTGTTTACTAATAAAATATATGGATATATTTGTGAACTTGGTGTTGTTCTTGAAATTGATGTCATGCATGTACATCTTCCATGGTTACTCTGCAGTATGTTGATAGTGAAATACCAATAGTTGGCTAGGAAGAAGAGCTAACCTCCAATAGCAGTAAACACGGGTTTGGAGCAAGTAGAATATCTCAAAAACGGCTTGGATGGAAACTATTTTTAATTGCGTCAGCCTGTTTAGCATACACTGTTTTTCAGAATTATCATTTAGAAAAAGGGCTTTTGTTTTGCTCTGTGAGCATCACATGGTGTCAAAAATGACATCGGACATGAAAATTGCAGGTATAAATTTTGGGATGGGGTACATAAACTTCTTCTGCTATGGACTGCCATTGACTTCTCTGCTTAAGTGAATAATCTTCTTCTTTGTTTTAATATACGTATCTGAAAATATGGACCTTTTTGATCTCACTCCTGTAATTGAGTTTTTGTGACTTTTTTGTATTAGATCACAGATTGCGGCATTACATAAAAATTGGCCACTGGCCCCTAAAAGTGACCTGGACATAGGTTCGCTCACATTTGATCATATTTCTTTTCTAAGCTGATGTAATGTTCGTGCTACAGTCCTCTCAGATGATAAAGTCTAATCCGATCAAATTAATTTCCAGAAGAAAGCAACAAGTAAGGTTTCACTGCTAAAATAGGACAGCTTTATCAACTTTAATGTCTCAGTAACCTAATCGTTAACATACATATTACTTTCACTAGGACATTAAGCAATACATTAAAGCCAAATTAATAGACTAAATATGAATGAATATGTCAGCATGTATTCCTTAAGTAACCCAATATTGCACAAATATATATTTCACTGGCAATCCTTCATCAGCAATCTGGAAAAGGAGTTTAAGTCGTGTGGGATTCATCTGGATTGTGGAAACGTTAAATTATTTGGTAAATTGTTTTCAGATCATATAATCGTACGTAATAGTTCACCATACGCTACTATACCCTGTACTTTGAAGACGTTTAAAATGGTTAAATCAAAATATGTTTTGCTATCTTATTGTTACATGCAAGAGGTCTAACCAGTGAGCGAATGAAACACATGCATGATTCTGGCTTTAAATCCATTGTTTTCTCTATTTCCAAAGACTTCAAGACAGAAGTCATTGTTAACTGAAAAGGTTCTTGAACGCGAGAAGATTACAAATAATTTTTCTCTAATCAAACAATGACCACAAATAAAAAAATATAACTTCACATTTGCATAGCTTCTACTTCTTTCGCATTTACATGATTCACCAGTAAACTTTTCGTAGTACTTCACACGATGCAATACAAAATATGACCCGAACAAACAATGCAGAGAATTTTTCCTGTCTTAGGTCACGATTCCATTTTCGGGTCAATCAAAACGTTGATTTGAACCATATTTCACAATAAAGAATGACTCTAATCTAATTATTTCATGGTTAAAAAACAGTCTGTCAAATATTTAATACTGAAAATACAGCCATATGACACCTCTAACTTAAGATAGAAACTATTAGCTCCATTCCAATCGCAAAGATTTTATCCTGCTATGACCCCATACAGCTACTAAACAAGCATACCTAAAAATATCCAGAGAATTCCCTATTTTAAGAAATTAGGGAGGATCCATTTTACGAAACTAATAGATGTTGTTATAAAGTCTCGTGAACACTGTACTGTGACAAATTGACGGCGTTCAAAACACACCAACCTCTTTCACTACGGTTCATTGCTAGGGAATGACCTCCGCGGTGTAATTTACCCAGTGTGGATAGATAGAAAGAAGAATGCAGATCACTGAACAAGTATATTGAAGAAATAACAAAATGAGCCCCCTTTCAATGAACATATATAAAATTTGATCAGTTTATCAACAGAATTTAAAATGAAAAGAAATCAATGACTTGGCTACAAAAGAATAAAAATGGTACTAACATGTACTCAAATAAAAAGACAATACAAATTTCTTTAAATGTAAAATTACTTTCAACGTTAAATTACTATCTTTATTGCCAATAAAATGTGACCTTTGAGTGCAACGATGAGAGACTTCATCACCTATTTTATGCGGACATCACACATCATTCCGTTCATCCCTGCTCCGTCGATCTTTGTCTAGCTTTTTCGTATTGGACTCTTTTCCGTCGAATTCTGACTTAACAATCGTCTCTGGACTTAGATTTCTGCCTGGAACTTGTTCTGGTCCTGTGATTGTTCAGGGATTTCTCATGTGAGTCCAGAAAAGCTGTTTCCTTCAATAAATAAAATGTCTCGCAATAGACAATAGGTCATATTCCCACGTACATTTATATTTTTACATTAATTCGGCTCAGAAAACAAAAGGCATAAATTCTTCCGCATGAACGTTACCTAACTCTCTGTTTACATAGTCAGTCAATGCTTGTCCTGACCTTAATTCAGGTCACGCTAGGGATGGTCAATTAAATTCAACTCAGCCGTATGAACCCGTATGTAACCCCGACTCAACTGCTTACTCTACCAATCTAGCAGTATTAAGTTACATATGGCTTAGACCCTCAGATCTAACTATTCTAAAATAGTTTCCTCGACCATTGAAATATTACAAACTAGCATATAGATATACACTTAAGTGATCAATTAAATATTACAAACTAGTATATGGTATACATGTAATGTTAGGTCATACTCATTCTAAACAGAGTTAATCCATAAACTATAAAACATTACCCATCATTCCTTAAGCTTAATTCATTTAAATTCCTAATCACTCCTATGTATTCAAGATTCAATTACATGCAATCTTTTCAACTAATCTAATGAAATTTTAATTACATTCAATCTTGCCAATTCTCCAAATGAATTGATAATTAGAAAATCAAAGAATAAAATGTCATGACTAGCATTTCACTAAAATCCTGCAAAATGAAATCATACACACCTACATACATCATATCAAGAATACATTTGAAATAGATCAACAAATGAAATAACATATTAAAATCGGGAAACTAAGATTGCGTACCTTTTGCCGTTTCTTTATTCGTATAGTCCGTCTCCTAACTGAGACAACTATTTGGCCCCTAACTCTATAATGAAAACGTACTCTTTACGAATTCAGAATGTAGAGTTTGCCTACTTGCTGAGACAAAACTCCCGCTTTACTGCCAAATCACGAGATAACGTCTTACACGCTCTTCCCGGAGTCTCGACCACTCTTTTTCCAAGTAAGATTGAAGACTAAAGAATTTTCCTAAAGTAAAACCTTTAATTTCTTACAGAGTTACGCCAATAAATCCATATTAACCAATCGGAATAGACTGTTTCCTAGACCTGTTCCATAGAATTTTTGGATTGACAAGACAACTAAACAACTAATCATGCCGTAATTAATCATTACTTTGAACAATCATCTATAGCCAGCTCCCGCCTTTAACCGGTCGATTTTGGAAAAGGGTCTTATGTCATTCTCTTGTACCATAGCATCTGACTCGGTCATGTTATGTCGGCTAGAACGAATTCCCTTTTGACGTTCAGAGATGAAATGAAAAATAATCATCTAACTATCTCTAGCCCTTACTACTTTAATTAAGTTGACTTTGATACAATTCCTTTAACCAAAGCTTCTAAGATGTTTCAAAATTCAACACATCACATAGCCCCCCCCATTTATGAGTAAAATCTGGGATTTTGCTCATCGAATTATAAAGTTACAGTTTAAGTTAATGTTTACATGTCCTGAAGTGACCCCTTCACCTCAGACTCAAGTAACCGACTCATGCAATCTGCCCCCACATTTGAGTTTCCACGAATGTAACGTAGCTGGACTTGATATTGTTGTAGAAACAATGACCACCTCATTAAACGCCCATTAGTCATTATAGCCTGTGCAAGATACGCTAAAGGTAGATGATCGGTTTCTAGAATAAACTTTCGCCCATACAGATAACGCTGAAATTTATGAATCCCAAAGATAATCGCTAGGCATTCCTTCTCAGTGACTGAATAATCACGCTCAGCGGTATTAAGTTTCCTACTCGCGTATGCCACAAGAAATAAGTCCCCATCATGTTCTTGCAGTAAAACTGCACCAAGACCTCTGTCAGAAGCGT